TCCTGTGGCACCACCGCCTTGGTCACCCCTCCTTGCCTCGCCTGCGTAGCATGCACTCTCGCTCCCTGGTCTCTGGTCTTCCCAGGTCCCTGCCTGCCCTCCCTCCCTCGCCTGCGCCGCCCTGCATTCCTTGCGTCGAGGGGCGGCAGCGCGCTGCTCCTCACTCCTCCTCGTTTCCTCCCACAGAGGCTCCACTGCAGACGCTCCACCTGGACGTGTGGGGCCCAGCCCGCGTCCAGGGACAGGGCCGCGAGCGGTACTTCCTGCTGGTCGTCGACGACTACACGCGTTACACCACGGTCTTCCCCTTGCAGAGCAAGGGGGACGTCCCTGATGTTTTGATCCCCTGGATCCGCGCTGTTCGTCTCCAGCTCCGCGAGCGGTTCCGGTCGGACTTTCCTGTCCTGCGTCTGCACTCTGACAGAGGTGGTGAGTTCTCCTCCGACCTCTTGGCAGCCTACTGTGCGGAGCACGGCATCACCCAGTCGTTCACGCTTCCGGCCTCTCCGCAGCAGAATGGGGTTGCTGAGCGCCGCATTGGCTTAGTCATGGAGGTCGCTCGTACCTCCATGATCCATGCGGCTGCCCCCCATTTTCTGTGGCCATTTGCGGTCCGGTACGCCGCGCATCAGCTCAACCTCTGGCCCCGTGTCTCCTTGCCGGAGACCTCGCCCACACTGCTGTGGACGGGGAAGGTTGGCGATGCGTCGCGTTTCCGGGTCTGGGGTGCTCGTGCCTTTGTCCGCGATACCACCGCGGACAAGCTCTCCGCCCGCGCTGTTCCCTGTGTCTTCCTTGGCTTTGTCCCTGACGCGCCTGGTTGGCAGTTTTACCACCCCACCTCGCGCCGTGTCTTTGCGTCTCAGGACGTCACGTTCGACGAGTCGGTTCCCTTTTACCGTCTCTTCCCCTACCGCACTGCCTCGCTCCCCCCCCCGCCGCTCTTCCTTGCTCCAGGTGCTCCCCAGGTAGACCCCCTCCCCGCTCCCGGTCCTGCTCCTTCAGGTGTTTCTCAGGTAGACCCTCCTCCCTTGACTGTGCCGGTTGAGGTCACTGGTGACTCAGGTCCTCCTGCGAGTGGTCCTGCTCAGGGTGCTGAGCCTGGGGGTGCGGAGCCTGGGGGTGCTGAGTCTGGGGGTACTGAGCCTGAGGGTGCGGAGCTTGAGGGTGTAGAGCCTGGTGGTGCTGAGCCTGCGTGTGAGGGGTCTGGGGGTGCTGAGCTTGGCGGTACTGACGCTGGAGGTTCTGGAGCTACTGAGGGTGCTGGCGCTGGAGGTTCAGGAGCTGCTGGAGGGCCTAGTCCTGGTGGCGCTGGAGCTGGAGGTCCTGGAGCTGTTGAGGGTGCTCGCGCTGGAGGTTCTGGAGTCGCTGGAGGTACTGGTGCTGAGGGTACTGACACCGGAGGTTCTGGAGCCGTTGGGGGTGCGGGCGCTGAGGGTTCTGAGTCTGCTGTTGCGCGGTCTCCTTGGAGTGGCCGCCTTCGTCCCCGTGTGCCTCTCACCCCACAGCAGCTGCAGGACTGGTACGGTCGCCGTCAGCGTCGCGCTGCTGGAGCTCGGAGTCGTGCTGGTCCTTTGTCTACTGGAGGTGCTGGAGTTGCTGGTTCTGGAGGGGCTCGTGCTGGAGACACTGAGGCTGGAGACCCTGGGACTGGAGGTGCTGGCTCTGGGGGTGCTGCTGCTGGAGACGCTGAGGTTGGAGACCCTGGAGCTGGAGGTGCTGGTTCTGGGGGTGCTACTGCTGGAGACCCTGCGGTTGGAGACCCTGGGACTGGAGGTGCTGGTTCTGGGGGTGCTGCTGCTGGAGACACAGAGGTTGGAGACCCTGGGACTCGAGGTGTCGGCTCTGGGCCTGGAGCTTCTGGAGCTGCTGGAGGTACTGGAGCTGCTGGAGGTACTGGAGCTGCTGGAGGCACTGGAGCTGCTGGAGCTGCTGGTCCTGGTGCAGCTGCGCCGACACGACTGTTCTTCGCTCCGCCGTCTCCGTCGTCTCTGCCGCCGTCTGCCTCTGTTCTTCGTCAGGTTCTTACTCTTCCGTCGTCTACTGGTCTTCCGTTACAGACTGGCTCGCCGCTGCCTGCTCCTTCTCCTTACGCTGAGCTGACTGGTAGTCCTGCTGTGCGTCGTGAGCCTGCGTCGCGTCCTGTCTCGCCTGCTCGTCCTGGTCGTACCGGTCCTCGTGTTCCTCGTTCGCGTCCGCCGGCTGTCCCCAGCGCGCACCTCGTAGTCCGTCGTCCTTCCTCTGTTCCGCAGCCTGTTCCTCTGCCGTCTCCTCCTGCGTCCTCTTTGCCTGACGTTCCGGACCCTGCGTCTGACCGGTTTCGTGCTCAGCACCCTATTGCCACGCGTCTACTAGCCACAGTTGTCACTGACCCGTCGTTTGAGTCTGCTGCTGCGTCTGCTCTTGTCGCTGAGCTTGTTGACTTTGCTGCTGCCTGTCGTCTAGACTTCACTGCCAGTCTTGTTACTGAGTCTGAGTCTGTCTGTCCTCCGTCCGTCGGGGGTGAGTGTGCTCTTAGCACGGACGTCCTTGAGGACAGGCAGGAGGAGTTCCAGTGCCTTGCTGCTGCTTTACCTCATCTTGTGTCCTCGCTACTTGCCCCTGAGGGAGACCCGGATGCACCAGACATCCCGACTCCGCGCTCTTACGCAGAGGCGATAGAGGGTCCCTACTCCTCTCAGTGGCAGGCAGCCATGGACGCAGAGATGGCTTCCTGGAAGTCCACAGGCACCTACGTTGACGAGGTTCCCCCACCTGGGGCGAACATCGTCAGTGGCATGTGGATTTTCAGGGTGAAGCGGCCGCCGGGTTCTCCGCCTGTCTTCAAGGCGCGTTACGTGGCTCGAGGCTTCAGTCAGCGAGAGGGAGTTGACTTCTTCCAGACCTTCTCCCCCACCCCGAAAATGACCACTCTTCGGGTGCTGCTGCACGTTGCTGCTCACCGTGACTACGAGCTTCACTCTCTTGACTTCAGCACAGCTTTCCTGCAGGGCAGCCTGCACGAGGAGATCTGGCTGCGCCGCCCCCCGGGCTTCACTGGGTCGTTCCCTCCTGGTACTTAGTGGAGCCTCCGGCGGCCGGTCTACGGTCTCCGCCAGGCGCCACGTGAGTGGCACGACACACTGAGGACTACGCTTGCGGCTCTTGGGTTTGCGCCTTCTACTGCTGACCCGTCGCTGTTTCTGCGCACCGACACTTCCCTGCCGCCGTTCTACATCCTCGTGTATGTCGACGACTTGGTTTTTGCCACTGCTGACACTGAGGCTCTCGCCCACGTGAAGTCGGAGCTGCAGAAGAGACACACGTGCACAGACTTGGGTGAGCTGCGCAGCTACCTTGGCTTGCAGATCACCCGAGACAGAGCACGTCGCACCATCACCTTGACTCAGTCACACATGGTGCAGCAGGTCCTTCAGCGCTTCGGCTTCACCTGGTCTTCAGCACAGGCCACTCCTCTGGCTACAGGTCACACGCTCTCAGCTCCACCTTCGGACGAGTCCGTAGAGCCGAGTGGTCCTTATCCAGAGCTAGTCGGCTGCCTCATGTACCTGATGACTTGCACTCGACCTGACCTCGCGTACCCTCTTGGTCTCCTGGCTCGCTACGTGGCTCCTGGTCGGCACCAACCTGAGCACATGGCTGCTGCTAAGAGGGTACTGCGTTACTTGTGCAGCACATCAGGCATGGGGCTAGTGCTTGGAGGGACGAGCCCAGTTGTCCTCACTGGGCACTCAGACGCTTCTTGGGTTGACGACCTGGCTACTCAGCGGTCGTCACAGGGTTACACCTTCAGCCTTGGCTCTGGTTCAGTTTCGTGGCGTTCTACACGCTCGTCTTCAGTTCTTGGCTCCAGTTGTGAGGCTGAGATCTACGCCACCGCCATGGCTGCACAGGAGTTACGCTGGCTCACCTACCTGCTGACTGACTTGGGAGAGCAGCCTCGTTCTCCTCCAGTGCTGTACGTTGACAACAAGGCCGCCATTGCCTTGTGTGAGGAGCACAGACTGGAGCACAGAACGAAGCACATTGCTCTGCGGTACTTCCTGGCTCGAGAGTTGCAGCAGCGAGGCCAGCTTCGTCTTCGCCACGTGGCCACTCGGGCCAACACTGCTGATGTGTTCACCAAGGCACTTCCGTCTGGTGATCATCAGCGCTTTTGTACTCTGTTAGGCCTTGTGCCTACGTTTCCACACTTGCTGTAGTCTCTGCTTGTACTGTGATCTGTACATATATATATATATATATATATATATATATATATATATATATATATATATGCATGCTGGCTCTTGCTAGGTAGCCATCACTGTACTGTTATTGCTGCATATATATCTCTGCATGTGAACTGGCCCAGTGGCCCTTTGCTTGTGCTCAGAATGCGTGGTGACGTTGTGATCCACCCTGAGCTTGTTTTGCTTCTCTTGACTGGTCGTGTGACCCCTTGTTCTCCCCCACTTTGCCTATGGGGGTGTGTCAAACTATATGTGCTGCATATTGTCTAGGCTGTAGTGGGGTAGCCCATATGGGGTACAACCTAGTTAGGGTTTACTACTTGTACTCCTGCATCCTGTTAGTTCATCCATTCCTGCTGCTAGATTTTAACAGCACACATAGTACGGTAAAGTGTCCTTTGTACAGCGGGAAGCCAAACAAGCTTTCGAGGGGGGTTCCGTAGATAAAATCGCTATTTGTTGCAGGTCACATCGTTGCGCAACCAGCCCGGGTCTGTTGGAGATGACACGGTTGGTGTCAGAGCTAGCTACACTACACGTTACCGGAAGTTTGGAGGGTGCTGTCTCGGATGGTGTGGTATGGTTGTTGCTGCAGGTTGCAGCAGATGTTGACGATGTTGATGATCAGCACAACCCTATGCAGTAGAGGATGGAGGAGGCAACGGCTGCATGCATTGCAGCCAGTGTGTCTAAATCACACAACCGTGTAGACCATCCCATGTCTTCCAAGGTATGGTGAGATCATGGGAAGAATGGTAAGATTGGAAGATGGGAGTAGTGGGGGTAATGGGAAGAATAGGAGGGATGGGAGGAATGGGAGGGATGGGAGGAATGGGAAAAATGGGAGGAATGGGAGGGATGGGAGGAATGGAAGTCTGGGCCGGGAAAACTGGAGGTATGGGATTGTTAAGGAGGACTGAGGTCAGGAAGAGAGGTTGGTAAGGAGTACGACCGAGTTAGTACTTGTCAGTTGCTGTGCGGTATCGGGGCAAGGTTCGACGATTCGAGCTAGTGGAGAGAGCAGAGAGGGAGGGTGGGATGAGCACTGCCGAGGAAGGGGAGGCTTGAGAGGGAGAGAGCGGCGTGATGAGCGAGGTGAGTGGGACATTGCGGGACGAGAGAGAGGAGGAGGAGGAGGAGGTGGTGGGGAGCAAGGGACCACTGCCACCGCCTCGTCTCCCAGTTGCCATCCCAGACGCCACAGCAGTTCCAGTAATTGACTTGCTGCTTGCAACACCACCTTTACTGCTACCACCACCAGCACCAGCAGCAGCAGCAGCACCAGCAGCAGAGGCAGAACCAGCAGCACCACCAGTGGAAGCGTAACCGAGAATGTAACCACCAGCAACCCTCTCAGGCTCGCTCTCTGTCTCCGTGTCCGGCTCAGTCTCACTAGAAACAGCGCCGTCCGGGGGAGTGATGCAGAAGGGCAGGCGGAAGGACGGCACGACAATGGCTGTGGAGCGAGCGATGGCGCGGCGCCGCTTGCTCAGCTTCCAGTTGGGGAGCTCAGGTAGGGGCTGCGGTAGAGGCGAGGTGTCGCGGTCGTGCTTCAGGATCCATGGGTGCTCTGATGGATGGGAGGTAGGGGCATGGGGAAGTTGAGCAATGGTGGGCGGCGGGCAAGGAGGGGGCGAGGGAGGGGGGGAGGGGGAGAGTGTTGATAAAAGGCTTAAAAAGTGAGATGTTTAGCGGTTGCAGAGGTGTGCTGAGATTGGCATGCTTGGCGCAAGGACCAGAAAGCAGAGGTAAGAGGAGGGGAGAGCAGCACGGGAGCAGAGGGGAGCATAGGGCGCTGGTGTGGAGAGGAAGCAAGGAAGAAAGAAGAAAGAAGTGGTACCCAGCAGCTGGTCGAGGGTGATTCTCTCCGCAGGGTCCTGGCACAGCATGCGGCGCACCAGATGCACAGCGTCCTTGCTCACATGCAGCCACGCGCCCGTGTGCGTGTCCACATGCCCCTTCAGGATCGCTCTGTACACGCCAATGTCCGTGCTGTGCCAGAAGGGCAGGCGCTGCGAGAGCAGCGTGTAGAGGATGACGCCGAGGCTCCACACGTCCACTTCAAAGCCGTACCGCCCGTTGAGGACTTCAGGTGCGATGTAGAATGGGCTGCCTGCATACCCGCGGATGCGCTGGCCTGCGGTGGTGTGCGGTGGTGCATGGTGGTGTGGTGTGTGGCCGGTGCGCGGAGGGGTATTGGGGAGGGGAGCAGTGAGTAGGTGGGTGTGGCTTGGTGGGGATAGGGAAGAGAGGGAGCAATGGAATGGAGGGTGGGGATGGAGGAGGAAGGTTGGGAGGAGAGGAGGGTGGGATAGAACAGCAATACAAGAATAACCCCCAAGCACCTGCATTTTCCAGTTTCGTAATGTCCCAGAACCTTACTCCCCCTTTCCCCCTCTTTTCCCCCTTCCCATCCCCCCCATTTTCCCCCTCCCCATCCCTCCCTTCTACCCCTCCTCACCCAGCGCACCTGGCTCAATGAAGGTGGAGATGCCAAAATCTGCAACTCTCAGGTCGGCCCCAGCAGCCCCCTTAGTGGCGAGCAGCACGTTTTCGGGCTTGAGGTCGCGGTGGCAGATGCCGCGGCGGTGGCAGAAGCGCACGGCGTCCGCGATGCGCCGGCAAATGGCGGCTGCATGGCGCTCTGAGATGTGCGGTGCTGTGTTGACGTGCGACAGCAGGTCGCCCCCCTCGCACAGCTCCATGATCAGATGCACGTCCTGGTCGGGGGAGGGGTTCGGGGGAGAAAATTGGGGAGGAGAAGAGGGATAGAGAGGGGGAGAGGTGTTGACGTGCGAGAGCAGGTCGCCCCCCTCGCACAGCTCCATGATCAGATGCACGTCCTGAGGAGGAGGGGGAGAGAGGCGGGGAAGGTGGGAGGGGTTGTGGGGAAGAGGGGGGAAGTGGGAGAGTTTTGAGACGTCTCAAAAGTGGGAGAGCAGGTCGCCTCCCTTGCAGGGCTCCATTATCAAATGCACGTCCTGAGGGGGATGGGGGGGAAGGGGAAGGGGGGACGGGTTGGCGAGAGGATAGGGGAAGTGGGAAGTGGTGGCGAGAGGTGTTGACGTGTGATAGCAGGACGCCAGCCTCGCGGGGCTCCATGATCAGATGCACGTCCTGAGGAGGGGAGAGGGGGGGGGGGGGGGGGGAGAGGTGGAGAGAAGGAGAGGTGGGAACATGGGAGTGCAGGTTGCCTCCCTCGCACAGCTCCATGATCAGATGCACGTCCTGAGGAGGGGAGAGGGGGAAAGGGAGGGGAGGAGGGAAAGGGGGGAGGAGTTGGGGAGAGGAGGGGAGAAGTGGGAGGAGGTGGGGAGAGGTGTTGACGTGCGAGAGGAGGCCGCCGCCCTCACAAAGCTCCATGATCAGATGCACGTCGTGAAGGGGAGAGGGGGAGGAGAGTGGTGAGAGGGGTTGCAAAAAGGTGGGGAGGGATAGAGAAGGAAAGAGGTGTTGACGTGCGAGAGAAGGTCGCCGCCCTCGCACATCTCCATGATCAGATGCACGTCGTGAAGGGGGAGAGGTGGGGAGAGGTGAAACCTTGCACCCTTGCACCCACACACCCCTGCACGCACCTCCTGAACCCTGCCCCTCTTGACCCATTGCCACCCTTGCCCCATTGTCCCCCTGCCCCACTGCCCCCATGCTCCCATCCCCCTGCCCGCACGCACCTGAGCATCCTCCACAGTGTCATGCAGCGCCACAATATTCGCATGCGACCCCACCGCTTCCATCACAGCCACCTCCACTCTCAACGCCTCTACCTTCTTCGCATCCCCCAGCGTCGTCTTGGCGATCGACTTGCACGCGAACCGCGCCCGGCTCTTGCGCTCCACGCACGCGCGCACCACCACGCCGCTCCGCCCCTCCCCCACCTTCTCCCCCACTTCATACTTCTTCCTCAGGTCTCCCACCCCGCGGCCTAGCATGCCCTGATCTTCGTCTTTCAGGAGGACACCGCTGAAGCTGACCATGCGTGAGTGGAAAGACGCTGCGCCTGCTGCTACCCCCCCCATAGCCTGCTCACCCCTGCTGGCGCGCCCCCCTGCGACTGGTTCCCGCTGCTGCTGCTCCCCGCTCCCGCTCCCCCCTTCTTTTCCATCCGAGGCCTGCCCTCCGCTTGCTTCCGCCCCTCGCTCCCCCTCTCTCTCCGCCCTTCTCGCCTCCTCTCTCCCCGCCTCGCTCCCCCCCCCTCGGGAGCCTCTCTCTCCTCCCCTCTCACCCCCATCTGCATTCCCACCCCCTCCCCTCCAGCCAGCATTCCCATCGCACTGATAATGCTGCCTGTGGCTGTGTGTCCCCTCCGAATCCCCTCACTCCCCTCACCGCCCTTCCCGCCTCCCCCACCATTCCCCCCTGCGCCTGACCCTCCCCCCCCACCCCATTTGTCAAACCGGCCGCTGAAAAAGCTGATGGCTGTTCGCACGGCGGGACTCTTAGGGGCACGGGGGGAACGCAAGGGAGATCTGCTTCTCGATTCCTCCTCCCTGCTCTTTTCCTTCTCCCTCTCGCCCTCTCTGCCCTCCCCCTCATCCCTCTCCCTCTCTCTTCCTCCTCTTCCCTGTCCCTCTCCCTCTCCTCTCCCTCTCTCCCTCTCCCTCTCCCTCTCCCTCTCCCTCTCCCTCTCCCTCCCTCTCCCTCTCCCTCTCCCTCTCCCTCTCCCTCTCCCTCTCCCTCTCCCGCTCCCGCTCTCTCTCCCTCTCCCTGCCCCCATCCACCCGCACACTCTTCGAAGAAAAACCACCGCTTCTGCTGCCACTCCCACCGTCCCCCCCCACCAGCACCACCAGCACCCATTCCCACCGCTGCACCTCCCCCAGAAACCCCTCCCCCAGCCGAGCCCGCACCAGCAGAAGCCCCACCAGTGGGGGACAACCCTCCGCCCGCCACACTCTTAGACGCCCTCACCCATGCCGCCCTGGTCCACCCACGGGACTTGTCAGGTGTGGGGAGGACGAGCGGGGGCACAGATGCAGAAGAGGTAGTGGTGGAAGCAGAAGTGGACGAGGGAACTGCAGAGGAGGAGTCTCGAGGGCTCCAGCAAGCAGCTCCTGCGTCTCTTCCCGTTCCCCCCCCCCAGCCCCCCGCTGCCTCCCCCTGAGAGACCCCCTCCCGGTCCCCCTCCCCCCCCGCCCCCGCCCCCCCCTCCGCCTCCGCCCCCGCCCCCCACTCCCCCAACGGGAGCAGCATCCGCAGTGGGGAGGAGGATGACGAGGAGGGGGGGGTGATCGCGGAGGGCAGGCGCGGCGTGGTGGTTTGGGAGGGTCCAGAGGAGTGGGGAGTGGTGGAGGAGCGAGGAGTGGTGGTGGACGAGCGTGGGGTGGAGGAGGATTGCTTACGAGACGAATCCCACCACCCACCGCTGTGACTGCTGTTGCCGCCACCCCCACCACCTCCACTAGCAGCAGCAGCAGCAGCAGCAGCAGCAGCAGCAGCAGCAGCAGCAGCAGCAGCAGCAGCAGCAGTGGCAGTGGCAGGCAAACCAGAGCCAAAGGCCTTCTCTTCTCCCTGGTGTGATGACCGCCGAGGGGACTTGTGCTGCCCTTTTAACACATCGAGAAGCCCTCGCCTCCCCCCTCCTCCTCCCCCGCCTTCCCCCCCTCCACCCACCCCCTTCCCTCGCCCCCCTCGCCCTTGCCTCCTTCCCGCCTCCTCCTCCTCCCCCCTCCCATCCTCCTCTCCACTACCACGCCCTCCGTCCCCCCCTCTCCTCCCCCTCCCATCCTCCTCTCCACTACCACGCCCTCCGTCCCCCCCTCCTCCCCCTCCCATCCCTCCCATCCTCCGCTTCCTCCTCACTCTCTCCCCCTTTCCCCCCTCTACCCGACCCACCACCGCCGCCCTTCTCACCCTTCCCAGCCTCCTCCTCAAACAGAGACAGTCTAAGTCGCCGCAGGTCCAGGCTCTTACCGCCCTTGCGAGGCTCATCCGTAACTCGTTCCGTGCCTGCAGCGCGCATGCTGCTCGCCCGTGGCTTCGCCTCCTGACTCCCAAACCACCGCCCCGGTGACCGAAGCCCCGACGCTCCTCCTCCTGTCCCGCCTGCTGCCGCGCTGCCGCCGCCCCCAGCACTTGCGGCGGCGGCGGCAGTGGGGGGGGCATCAGCGCGGGTGTCCTCTCGCCCCTTGCTTGCTCCTGACGGCAGCAGCTGCAGCACTCCGTTCAGTGCCCCTCTGCTGCTCGCCCTCCCCCCATCCCCCTCCCTTCCCCCTCTGCTCGTCTGAGACACGGACCTGCCTGCCTGAGACACCATTGGGGGGAGGAGCGCGGAGGGATTAACAGAACCAAGCACCTCGCCACTCCTCGCCTCACCGCTTCGTCTCTCCTCCTTACCTCGCCTCCCCTCCCTCCTCTGCAGCTCTCCACCCCGCTGCCTCTCCCCGTCGGACAGGTAATTCTGCTGCCTCTGCTCCCTCCCTGTCGCTATCCGAGACTCCTCATCCCTATGCTGCCGCCCTTGATCCCTGTACCTTCCATGCGTCTTCTGTTCGTCATCACCCCACCCCTCCTCCTCCCCTTCTCCGTCTGACTGTGTTGTCTCCTCCCACCTTTCCTCCCGTCGCGCATCTCCCGCTCTCCTCCTCTGTTCCCGTCCACTCTCTCTCCTCCCCCCCCAACCTCCCTGTCGCCTCATAACCCTCTGCACCCCTCCCAACCCTCTCCTCCCGACCCTCCTCCTCCTCCTCCTCTGTATCAACATCCGAACGGGTTTCCCTATCCAATTGTGCCTTCCTCCTTGCTTCCTCCTCCGTACTCCGTACTCCCACCCCACCCTCCCTCCGCCCATCCCTCTCAACCCCGTCCTCCCGGTCACTCCACGAGTCCACACCCTTCCACGGCTCCTCTCTGTAACTCCCACTGCTCTCCCCGCCACTTAACCGCCCACTCAGATCTTCACTAAACCGGTTACTCATCACATCTGCCAACCTGTTACTGCAAGCGTCACTGCCGCACCCGTCGCTCTCCCCCTCGCTCTCCCTGCAGTCGCTCCCATTATCACTGCGCGCCACCTCTGCTGCCATTCTCGCAGGCAGGCGCACACTCAAGGCCACGGGGCGAATACCACTCATACCACTCATGCCACTCATGCCACTCATGCTACTCATGCCTGTCCCTGCACCCAGCCCCAACCCCCCTGCTGCTCCCGCTGCTGCAGGAAAAGTGTGAGGGATTCTGGAGGTAGGGCGTTTTGGGGAGCTGAGAGGCATCTCATTCCTCCTCCGCCCACTGGTGGTATTGGTCCTGATAATGCCACCATCTGCCCACCACCACCACCAGACGTTGTAAAGGCCCCACTAGAGGCCCGATGCTTCGACCCTGATGTCAACGCTGCGGCTGCGGCTGTTGCTGCTGTTGCTGTTGCTGTTGCTGTTGTTGATGTTGATGCTGCTGCTGGTGCGGATGGTGGCGTGTTCCTCCCAGGGCGCTTCACGGCGCGGGGGGGTGACTTGTATGGCTTAGACGGTGCAGCAGCAGCAGCAGCAGCAGCAGCAGCGGCAGCACGGCGCGTATTCAGCGAGCTGTGGCGTGCGGCCCTGGCCCTCACTGCCACGCGATCGCCTATGCTGTCGCCTCGCATCTAACAGCCCGTTTCCATACCGTGCTCTCTCTTCCTCCTCTTCCTCCTCTTCCTCCTCTTCCTCTTCCTCCTCCTCCTCATCCTCCTCCTCCTCCTCCTCCTCCTCCTCCTCTTCCTCCTCTTCCTCCTCCTCCTCTTCCTCCTCTTCCTCTTCCTCCTCCTCGTCTTCCTCCGTGCCCTCTCTGCAGTCACCTCTTCCCCAGCCCGCCTCTGCATCTCCTGAGTCTTGCTCAAATGTCCATTCCAATGTAGCGTCTAAGTCACCACCACCACCACCACCACCACCACCCACCCCTTGCACATCTCTCCTTGTCCCACCCACTCTCCCTCTTCCCTTCTCCCCATCTCTCGCTCCTTCAGCTTCCCGCTCGCCTCTCACCCCTCCAGTGGCCCTTGGATTGACATCCGCCCACGCACCACCGCTTTTCCTCCTGCTCAGCGCACCCACTGCACCTGCGCCCCCTGCCCCTCCCCCCCCTGCTGGCATTTGCCTGGCTTCCACCGCCGTCGCCCCGTCATATGACTTCGCCAGGTGAGCTTCTAACAGAGGGGCTCGTGAGCGAGGACTTGCAAGGACAACTGATGGGCCGGACGAGGTGCTACGCTCCCTGTCTCCTCTCTCTCCTCTCTCCCCTCTCTCTCCTCTCTCCCCTCTCTCTCCTCTCTCTCCTCCTCCCCTCTCTCTCCTCTCTCACCCTCTCTCCCCTCTCTCCTCTCTCTCCTCTCTCTCCTCCTCTCTCTCTCCCCTTTCTCCTCTCTCCCCTCTCTCACTCCTCACTCCTCTCTCGTCCCTCTCACCTCTCTCGCCCTCTCTCCTCTCTCTCCTCTCTCTCTCCCTTTCTCCTCTCTCTCTACCCTCAGCCCCCTCTCCCCATTCTCTCCTATCTCTCTCCCCTTTCTCTCCTCTCTCTGCTCGCTCACCTCGCTCTCCTCTTCCCCCCTTCTCTCCTCTCGGAAATCTCTCTCCCCTTCCTCCTCTTTCTCCTCTCTCACTCCCTTCCCCCATGCCTCTCCTCTCTCTCTCTCCTTTCTCTCCCCTGTCTCCCCTCTCCCCCCAGTCTCCCCTCTCTCTCCCCTCTCCCCTCTCTCTTCCCTCTCTTCCCTCTCGCCTCTCTCTCGCCGTTCTCCTCTATCCCCCCGCTCGCCACCAAAAACGCTGCTCGAAGCGCTGCTGGTGCGATTGATTCTGAACATATTACCCTGCGCGCCCGCTGCGCCACTGCCGCTTCTGAACCGAGGGCTCGCACCTACACCGAGAGGTAACCCATTCGTACCGCTTCCAGTACGCAAAATACTCCCGCCCCCGCTCAAGCTCCCACTTTCGCTCATAAAATCGGATCCTTCCGCGTTCGCGCGCTTTCCGCCCCCCCGATCCTTACCCCCCAGCCCTGCAGCCCCCGCCATACCCCGCGCGAAGTCCACTGGCGATTCCGCTTCCGCCTCGTCTCGATCCCACCCACGGCTCGTACCCGCGCCATCCTTTCCCCCTCTGTCGTCCCCTTTCCGCCCCCCTTGCGCGGTTTCCCTGCGCCCTTGACTCCTCGCGCCCCCTTTGCCGCGGCCGCCTGCGGGCGACGAGGCGGAAACCGAAGGCGAGAGCGCGGCCGGATGGGCGCTTCGCCCCGCGGCCTTTCCGCCCGCAGTGAGGGAGAAATCCGCGCGACGAGACGCGGAGGCGTCGGAGCTTGCGGGACTCGGCGCTACTCGGGGGGGAAGCTCCACCAAATCGACGCACGAGGGACCCGCGGTGAGAAGCGGGCGCGGGGATGCTCGCGCGGAGGCAAGAACAGAGGCGGAGGAGCGCGCAGAAGGCGGGGAAACAGGCTCCCCCGTGTGCGCTCTGCGCCTGTTCGACTGGGTCTCGAGACGCGGAGGCACAATGCGCAGCCGGCGGAAGGATTGCGAGCCGCGAGCGCCGACCTCTCGTTTTCTCTCGTCCCTGCCGTCCGCCTCATCCTCCGCCTCCTCCCTCCTCCTCTCCTCCCCCTCCTCATCTTCCGCGAAAGACTCCTCTTCCTCATCCCTACAGCTTAACCTCCCTGCACCCTCTCCCTCGTCACTGCTACTGCTGCAGCAGCTGCTATCGAAACTCCGCGCTACTCCCCCCAGCGCCGTCGGAGTCCAAGGCTTCTTCCGCGTGCTCCACCGCGCGGACGACGGCGACCCCGCGCTGCTGCCCATGCGCGGACTCCCCGCGCGCGCAGCCGCAGCGGCGGACCCCGCGGGCGAGCGCACGGGGGAAGGGCTCGGCGAGCGGGCGGACGCGGCGGCGCCGGAATCAGCAGGCCCGGACTCTTCCTCTTCAAGCACAGACGCGTGACTGGGATAGCGCGCCGACGCGCGCGCGCGCTGCGTTTGCGCCCAGGACGCGCGGGACGCGTGGATGTTCGGCTGCGACACGTTCCGCCTGTGCTGCTGGCTCTGCGCCCAGCCTTGCGCCGCGTCGCCGTCGTGCTCTTCCTCGTCCGATTCATCCTCGCTCGAACCCCGCGCACCTCCTTTGCGCCTATCGTCCTCCCCCTCCTCGTCCCCATCCCCTCTTTCCTCCTGTTCCGCTTCCTCTTCTTCCTCCTCCTCTGACTCCCCAGCGCTCTCCTCCTCTTCCGCCTCTTCCTCTTCTCCTTCGTCTTCCTCCTCCGCTTCCTCCTCTTCCTCCCCCTCATCCTCTTCCTCCCATTCTTGTTCCTCGTCTGTACCAGCACCACGCTCCTTCGGCTGCCACCGTCGCTCGTCAGCTTTCACGTCACCATCGAACCCTCCTCGACCGTCCGCCCGCGCCGAATCCCTCCGACCGGGAACCACCCCCCGCTTATCCCGCGCTTGCTCCTTGCTACGTTCCGCCGATGCTTCGTGCCACAGCCGGGTATTCCCCGCGGACTGGCCCAAGTTGCTGTTTCCGCGCGCTTGCCGCGTTCCGCCCTGCTGCGGCTTTTGCGCGCGCGAGCCCGTGGTGCTGCTACGCGCGGGGAGAGCCAAGTTTGTGGGACTGGTTGACCTCGGGCTGTTGATCGGAGTGTTACTGACGCTGCGACTCGACGGTAATGCTTGAATCGAGAGTTTCTTTCCTTGAATCGGGATTTTAGGGAGTGAAGACGACTCCTTGGGTCCCCGATTGGACTGGGAACGTTTCGGAGGACGGAAGCTTGCGGAACCCGCGGCACTAGCGGCGCCCGACGCGGGAGCAGATGCCTCTGCGGCATATGCATCTGAGAGCCCCATGGGGAAAGAATACGGGCAGGTCTGCCTTGCGGTGATATCGTCGTGGTGCTAGTGTGCGTTCTGCTCATGGCTGTGCATTCCAAGATTGTCAGAGGTTTCCTCCATTAATCGACGAGTTTAATCGCTTTGTCTCGATCAAGCGAACATTGGCATGCAACTCGCGCAATCTATCGAGTAGGGTGTGGCTGTCAGTGACAGCGGAAATCGAGGAAATTCGGAGCATCATGGAGTGGTGATGAAGGTTAGGGTTTGCTGGGTCAACAACAACCTAGATCAGGATTCAGGAGGCTGGTGTTCGCATAACCAGGCAATTCCAATGCAAGGCGGGGAACGACATCATTCATGACTCGTGGGGGAAGGTGAAAGGGATGGGCCAAGAGGGGAAAGGGGATGTTCGGAATATTTTAGTCCATCCCCTAGTCATTTTTGTTTACCTAACACTAGCCTGGTTTTATTACTAACGATGTCCCTTGTAAGGAAACTTACCGTACCTACTTTTCCTCATCGGGGTGTATTGCTTCACATTCTAACCCAAGTCCTGGAAGTGAATGTTGGAATAACCGAAAGGTTATTATAAGCATTCCCGAAGGCATCCCACTAACGCATCAGCTGTTAGCAAAACCGGGCACTGTACCAGTACCGCAATAGCCCATATAGAGCATGCGAAAGGTCAAGGTGTCAGAATGAGGAATGAATGATCCATTGATGTTGGTTGGGGTACATATAGCTAACCCTAAGTTTTGTACCTCCTAAGACAAACCTCACTATAGGCTACAACATTTGACACACCCCCATAGCCTAAGTGAGGGGTGTCTAGCAGAACCAAACGAGTACGGTCACAAGACCAGTCCAAGAAACGAAGCTCAGGGTGGATCACAACGTCACCACACAGTCTGAGCACAAACAACAGTGGCCACAAGGCCAGTCCAAGAAGTAACAGAGGTATATAGAAAGCAAAGTATGTCAAAACATATGCATGTTAGTATCTAGGCTATATTGGGGCTAGCCTTAAGGGGTACAGAAACTCACTCGACACTCTAGTCTTGTACCCCAACCTCCACCTAATCACACATACTCTTCTCATTCTAACATGGCATCAGAAGCCTAGGTTAGGAACCTAGGACCACCTTGTACTAAGGGCCCGCCCTTCCGCTAGCGCCCTCGAGCGCCTTCTTCCTTTCGTGCGCCCTCGCGCGCCTCGTTTCCTGGTCGCGTAGCCCGCTAGACGACCGCGCGCGGCCCCCTTTTTGCCCGCGCGCGGCCTCGTTTTTTGCCCGCTAGCAGCCTGCGCGCGGCCCGAATCGCGTGCGCGACGACCATAGGCCGCTCGCGCGGCTCGATCCGCCCACGAGCAGGTCGCTAGCCGCCCGTCGGCCCGCCCGTAGGGCTTCGCGTCGCCCGTAGGCCGCCGCCCCTGCTTTCGTAGCCGCTGCCTGCGCGCGAGTGCAGCCCACGCCCGACCGCTCGCCCCTAGGACGGCGCTCGTAACGCCGCCGCCCGCCCGCAGGTCGCAGCCCGCGCGCAGTGGCGATCGCGCGTCGGCTGCTGCAGCTCGCGCTTAGCTGCAGCTCGCGCTTAGCTGCAGCTCGTGCTTAGCTGCAGCAGGACCCCAGCCGCGGCCTGCACGCAACTGCAACCCTAGGCGCCGCCGCGCACCGTGCATAGGCCCGCCGTTGCGCTGCCCTACCTGCCCGAGCCGCGCCGCCCTGACTGAGCCTACTGTTTAGGGTTTAGGGTTTTGCAGCACCTACTGTCCCTGTTCCTGCTGTTACAGCTGTTCTTCTCACTACAGTTGTTCCTACTACTGCTCTTACTGCCGCTACTGCCACTATGGCTACACCCACAGTTCTCTCTTTCGATGCTGAGGGCCGTCCGCTCCAGTTTGATGCTTGGCTTGACGATCTCCACCTTTTCCTCCAGATCACCGCTAAGGATGACGTCTCGCTGTATGACCACGCGTCCGGAACCGCTCTCGCACCTGCTGACACTGCTGACAGTACAGCTCGCTCCCAGTGGCAGACTCGTGACGCCCACGCTCGCCTAGCCATTCGCAGCCACCTGCCGTTAGATGAGCGCGCGCACTTTGGCCAGCACAAGACTGCTAAGGAGCTGTACGATGCAGTAGTCGCCCGCTACTCCTCACCTGCCTCCGCTACGATAGGCCGTCTCTCTCTGCCCTATCTTTTCCCCGATCTCGCCGCCTTTCCCACAGTCGCTGACCTCATTACACACCTCCGCACCAGTGACACTCGCTTCCGAGCCGCCCTCCCTGCTGAGTTTCTCGCCAAGAACCCCCCACCGATGTACCTCGTTCTCTACCACCTAGTCACCCGTCTCCCTGACTCTCTTCGCGCAGTCAGGGACCACTTTCTCGCCCTCTGCCCTACCGAGCTCACCATTGACCTGCTCGAGAAGCATCTGCTTGCAGCTGAGGCTAGTATAGTTGCTGTAGGTGCCTCTCGTGGCGACCCCCGCACGCCCTTCTTCGACGGGTGTTCCCCTTCCCCCCTTCTCCCCTCGGTTGCCTCTGCTGCCGCTGTCGACTTCCTCGGTGCTGAGGACGTCGGGGCTGCGTCTGCTCCTAGCTGGAGGCGCAAGAGCGGCAAGGGCAAGGGGGGCAAGGGTGGCGGCGGTACCAGTGGGGGAGGTGGGGGTGGCGGTGGAGGTGGAGGCGGTGGGGGTGGTGGCGGTGGTGGGGGTGGTGGCGGGGCTGGGGGGGTCAGTGGCAGCGGCGGAGGTGGCAGCGGCGGGGGTGGCAGCGGTGGGGGTGGTGGCGGCAGTGGTGGTGGGGGAGGCCGGGGTGGAGGTGGTGGTGGTGGCGGCAGTGGGCGTGGTGGCGGCGGCTCGGGTGGTGGTCGGGGTGGACCAGCGCAGCGTGGAGGCTCGGGTGGTGCCCAGCGCCAGCAGCAGCGTCTTGGAGAGACCCCGTCGTCCCAGCAGCTTCGTGAGTGGTACTCTCAGCATGGGGGGTCTGGGGGTGGAGGCACCTGCACGTATGTCATCCGCACCGGTGACCGCGCTGGTCAGACGTGTGGGCGTTTCCACACGCCGCACCGCTGCTTCTTTCGTCTAGACGATGCCTGGCGTGCACAGTTCCCGGAGGCCTCTGAGCTGCCCCGCTGGGCTGATCTGCTTAAAAAGAACATTGATGTATTTGCACTTGACTTTGATGTTATTCTTGGAGCCATGTATGCATTGACTATTAGTGTTGAGGGTGACTGTTACTTGTGTGTGCCACCAGACCCAGGCATTGCGACCAGTGAGGCTGCCGCTCTAGGTGCTAGTGCGTCCGCTGCCCCAGGTCCTGGTGAGACAACTGCTCTAGGTGCAGGTGTGTCTGCTGCCCCAGGTGCTTGTGAGACTGCGCCTTCAGGTACAGCGTCTACTGCGGCACTGCACACCTTCACCCTGGACTCAGGTGCTTCCCGCTGTTTCTTTCGCGACCGCACTGCCCTCGAGCAGCTTCCTAGACCGGTTGCTGTCTCCCTGGCTGACCCCTCCGGGGGTCCGGTTCTTGCGACCTCCTCCACTGTCCTCCCGTGTCCTGCGGTCCCGTCTGGCACCCTGTCAGGTCTTTACCTCCCCTCGTTCTCTACGAACTTGGTGGCGGGCTCTGCTCTACAGGACGGGGGTGTTCACCAGTTCACCCCTGCCTATGAGCGTGTGACCCACTGTACGTGTGCCCGGACGGGTCGCCACCTTGCTACCTTCACTAGGGAGCCGGGGTCGGACTTGTACACACTAACCACTGAGTCCCCTCAGGTCGCTGCGTCTGCGTCTGCGTCAGGTCAGCTGTCGGCCCCCTGCTTGTGTCGCTCCCTGTCCCACCAGACTGTCCTCTGGCACCACCGCCTTGGTCACCCGTCAGTGCAGCGCCTTCGCGGCATGCACCGTCGCCTCCTTGTCTCTGGTCTTCCCCGGGTTCTCCCTCCCCTCCCACCCTCGCCTGCGCCTCCCTGTCTTCCCTGTGTCGAGGGGCGGCAGCGCGCCGCTCCTCACTCCTCCGAGTTTCCCCCGACAGAGGCTCCTCTGCAGACACTCCACATGGACGTGTGGGGCCCCGCCCGCGTCCGTGGACAGGGCGGGGAGCGCTACTTTCTGCTGGTAGTTGACGACTACACGCGTTACACCACGGTCTTCCCCTTGCGCACCAAGGGTGAGGTCCCTGATGTCTTGATCCCTTGGATCCGCACTACCCGTCTCCAGCTGGAGAGGCGCTTTCGCTCGGACCTTCCAGTCCTGCGACTGCACTCTGATAGAGGTGGTGAGTTTTCCTCCGACCTCTTGAGAGCCTTCTGTCAGGGGGAGGGCATTGAGCAGACGTTCACGCTTCCGGCCTCTCCGCAGCAGAATGGGGTTGCTGAGCGCCGCATTGGCCTGGTCATGGAGGTCGCTCGTACCTCCTTGGTCCATGCGGCTGCCCCCCACTTTCTGTGGCCGTTTGCGGTACGGTACGCCGCGCATCAGCTCAACCTCTGGCCCCGTGTCTCTGACCCGGACACCTCGCCGACACTGCGTTGGACGGGAGAGGTTGGCGATGCGTCGGTGTTTCGAGTCTGGGGATCTCGTGCCTTTGTCCGCGATGCGTCCGCGGACAAGCTCTCCTCCCGTACCCTCCCCTGTGTCTTCCTTGGCTTTGTCCCTGACGCGTCTGGCTGGCAGTTTTACCACCCTGCCTCGCGCCGTGTCTTCCCTTCTCAGGACGTCACGTTTGACGAGTCGGTCCCCTTCTACCGTCTCTTCCCCTACCGCACTGCCCCGCTCCCCCCTCCGCCGCTCTTCCTCACTCCAGGTGCTGCTGTGGTAGACCCCCTGCCTCCCCAGGGTCCTGCAACCTCAGGTGTTTCCCAGGTAGACCCGGTCGAGCCTGTCGAGGTAGCTGTCGACTCTGGTCCTGCGCGAGGTACTGAGCCTGAGCGTGCCGAGCCTGGTGGTGCTGGGTCTGGTGGTACCGAGACTGGGGGTGCTGAGCCTGGGGGTGTGGAGACTGGGGGTGCTGAGCCTGGGGGTGCTGCCGCTGGGGGTGCTGGGCCTGAGGGTGCTGACACTGGGGGTGCTGCGCCTGGGGGTGCTGACACTGGGGGTACTGAGCCTGGGGGTGCTGTGCCTGGGGTTACTGAGCCTGGGGGTGCTGCGCCTAGAGGCACTCTTTCTTCCTTGGAGCTGCGTGAGTGGTACTCTCGGTACTGCCGCCGCCACAGTGGTACTGTGGGAGCTGGGAGTACTGTTGACACTGGAGCTGAGGGCGCTGGAGCTCCTGGTGCTGGTGTGGCTGCCGACCCTGGGGTTGGCGCTGGAGGTGCTGGAGCTGCTGGGCCTGGAGGTGCTGCTGGAGCTACTGGAG